CTAGTTTCATTTTCTTCATTCTTCTTCTCGCTCTTGATTTCGCACGTCCTTCCCTGGCCCTGCAGATGGCAACTGTAGGCAGACAGTGGGCGGAGCAATGGGCGGAGCCAGAGCCTAGCGCTTGAAGGTGTTAAGTTCCCCAGGATGCCTAATTCCTTGCTCCGGGGAGAAGCAGCGAGGCATTGGGAATTCCTGCGCGCCCTCCGATCAACAACACGCTCGGCTCGGGATGTGAGCGTATATCTCTCAATTTTAGTTGCTTACGCTTGTAATAAATATATTCCTCCTTTGCAATGTCTTGTATTTCGCTGGGCACGGAAAATGGGTAAAACAGAAGCCATGCCCACCTCTCCTTTAAAAAGCACCTCTTCTTTTTTTCCTTACAAATACGCCAAAAGACATAGGGCGGCCTGAAATGCCTCCACATCAAGCTAGCCCCTTGCAAACCGCCATTTGAGAGCTCTCACGAAATACGTTCTCTTCCAAATCAAGTTCTCACAAGAAAATAAGCACATTCCAAAGCAGCAATTTATGACTAAATCACATAAGATGAAACTCATTAGTGCAAGATACCTATGGCCTATTTCATCGAAAGTTAGGATGTTACTTCTCCACCACAATACTGTACGCGGGATTTCCCTAAAAAACATAAACAAAAAGGAAGGAATAACGGCTCAACAACGACAACTGAGTCACTTACTTGAGTGTCCTCGTCAGCCAACACTTTCTTTCCATGCAGTATATAAGGTCGCGCTAAGTCGTGACGACAATTAGACCATCCTGTGCCCAATCCAATTCCCGATCCAAACCATATAGGCCAAGACCTACTCTGAAGTTGGAGAGTTATTCTAAACTCTGCAGACAGTAGCTGCGCCTTCACCTTGAAAAACGCAACACTTGCGACGATGCCAATTGCTATCCCTCCACTTATTTTGAGAAGTGAATCAGCAAAACATCTGGAAGCGTAACATGGAGTAAAACGGGAAACCAATTGATTATGCATTCAATTCGTTCGGCCCTAATTAAAATTGCCATAACGTCTAATTACAAGAACTCCACCTCCAATATTCTATTATGTACTGCTTCATAGATTATAAAATATTTTCAAAGAAATCTGGTAACTGGTGCGAGAGTGAACCCACCTATCTATCTTCTCTCCCAGCACATCTTCACTGCGAGCCATCTGAGCGAATGATGAATAAGTTCAAAAAATGTTTGCTTATATTCCATAAAATTGCACAAATGGAGATGGTCAGATATCTAGGCAGTTAACCGAAGTCAAGACATAGAAGTAAGAACAGTATTTATTCTCATATGCTTTACAGAAGTTTGGATTATACAAAACACGCAAGCAAAATAATTGGAAAGACAACTCAGGATAAGAGAAGACATGTGAAGAATCTATCATCAAGGCTTTGATTTCTTTTTCGATTAGGAAAAAAGGCGAACCAGCTCCAAAACTGTGAAGGACACGTGTAGAAGTAAAATCCTTAATCTTGCAGTGATCTTTCTGTGACTGCATAACATCCTGGATGTGGTGGCAGAACACGTTTTTTTTTCGATCGCAAACGAGAAGGGAATGTTTCTCTTAATCATCGTTTTTTTCTCGTACACTCTTGACTCTCCTTTTCATATGAACATTTTAGGCCTTCTTTGTGTTGTTTCTTATTTATGGTCTGTATCTTATTTTCGTTTGAGTTCATGAAATTGAGTCCTGGGCTCTACGAGACCAGTATTTACACAAGTAACTCCGACAGGCGTACCTCATGGACCAGCGCAGATTGGCCTTCGTGTAAAATTTTGGAGGGTTCCTTCAACAGATGGTAAGGACGTTCTAGACAAATTCAAACCTTTTTTGAAGCTTTTCTCTGATTGATTTAGTA